GCATAACAGAAACTGTTCTAATAAAATGAACAATATTTCAAAAATATAGTTTTATAGAAAAGAGTACCAAATGTAACATTTTTTAATTAGTGCTAATAAAATCATTTTATTTTATATTTGATAATGTTATATTTAATAATCAAGATTCTCATAAATAAACTAACTTTTTCATTTTGAATAAATATGTAATTTTTATTCAGATTATTTTGATACATTCCACGCTGTTCTACAACGTTTCGCAATATAATCGAAAATAGAACAACTTGAGCTACGCTCGATTCTAATGGCACTTCGAGTTCGCTAAAGAAGATAATGTTACATCGTATACGCGTTACATAGTATTGTTTTAGATATATTGATAATTATTAATCTTGTTCAAGAAATGCTTTTCCCTCTTTTTCACGAGCTTTTTTTATGCGAATAAATAGATAATATGATAGAGATTAAAAATTTTACTAAAAGTTATCAATAAATTTATCCTGTAAACGGTAATTTACGATGAATTGAAAAGAATTGAAAGGAATTTATGCTGCAAATGATCAAATTCTTTAATATCAAGGATTAACTTGAAAGTTTTAAAATTCTATTTATTCCTTCCTTTTTTTCTCTTAATATTGATTAATTTATTTATTAAAATTAAAGTAGATTAATATTTTTGTCTCACATTAAGGAGGCATTAGATTCTATTATTATATTTAGAATAAAAGGAAAAATTAAAAGCAATCTCAACATATTTCAATGCTATCCTCGGTTACTTCTAAATTATCTTCTTTTCAAAGATAAAGAATATAATATGACGGCATAATTTCCTATCAATTTTTCCTTAATCCAACTATTTTTAAAAGAACGCAGAATATCTCAACAAAATGTACCAGCGGCGAGATATATATAAAATGGATATTACATTTTACATGGAGGCACATGTGAGACTTGCGATCTGATATTTACCGAACAAGTTCGTATAGATTTACTTTATCGCAGCAATAACTTATTATCTCGAGTTCGGAGCAAATTTAGTACAAATAACTCCTATTGATCTGTGCGAAGTAAAACGGAATAACGAGTGCTCATTATGGAGCTCATTATGGATAGTAACGCTATATCAATACAGTCCAAACCTCTGTTATGACGTACCTATATCAATTAGCTCATGCGAAGAAGTATTGCGAAATTTATTTGATTGATTTCTACAAAAAGTTATACAAAATATGACACGATATCTGCTTACGATATGCGTTTAGAGTGTTATCACTCGTAAAACTACGTCTACGTATTTATTGCCAGTTGGGAGATATATCGGTAGGAATATCTGCTGTAAAAACCGCAGAATATCCATAAAAATATCTACGTGTAAACAGTACCGGCGAAGACATGATGTATGTGGATAAATAAACTTGCATGTACAAACTGTGATAGTCTAAGTGTGATTCAAAGGCAGAAAATTGCAAAACAGAATCTTTTAAATCGGAGTGAAAATTGGGAACTCTTAATATCTCTTAGCACAGCCAAGATTTTATAATTCATGCATTTCTATAGCATATCATGTAATTTTTTTTTTTAAGATAAGAAATTTTTTTGGCAAAATTGTACGATAATGATGTAATTATGCCAATTAATTCATTAGTCCAGTTAACGTAACGTAGTACTTTATCTCTCGCGCGGGACAATTAATGATAATAAAACAAATTTGTAAGTACCTTTAAAAATTTTCTTAAAATATATACGCGAAATCTACTTATAATTTATAATAAATATACGAAGAAGACGACTAAGAAGAATTAATATATAGCTGCTATAAAATATAAAGTAGGTCTATACGTAAAGATATGGAATATACGTATCAACGGAATATTTTAATTTACGTGCTTAACTCAAAAATTAAATATTGAGCTATTTTTTCAAGGAAGTGATCAGAATGATATATTAATACATAAAAGAATAGATAGACGTGAAAGATATTTAAAAACACGTTGAAAGGAGTATTTTCACGTCAACGTGTACAATCTATTAATATTAAAGTCTGTATATACCCGCGTTGAGCTTTATTTAATTAAAAGGCATAAAAAGGAATGCTTTTCGTGTTATGTCCCAAAAGCATATTTTCACGCAACAATGATTGTCGAGCAAGCTTATCTGTACCAATGAGCAATGGATAAGATAAGATGCATTGTGGTAAGATAAGTATGAAGTACAGATGAAGTATGAGAAATTAGTATTAACCCTTCGCGGTCCCAATTATATCTTGAAAATGAATAAGAATGAATAATTTCATCCTCAGTTTAATTTAACATAATTTAATGTGTACCACTTAACTTATATTACTTAAAGGAATTTATGGATGTTATAAAAATATAGTTTGCAAATTGTAATCGTGCATTCGAACGTTTGGAAAACTGTTTCCAGAAATCGCCGAATTGATATAAAGCATATATCAAACTAAAATATTGACTATGGAATTATCGACCATGGAATTACAAAGGGTTAAACTAATAAAAAACAACTAGTAAAAAAGGAAAAATTGAAGAAAGGAAAAGACAGTGTAACAAAAAAAAAAACAGTGTTGCGATGATTGAAAATATAACATTTGTTATGTATCAAGCAAATTTGAGCGTCATATATGCAGTTATGCAAAATATTGTAAAAGAAACAATAGTATTTTTTAAAGTCACACGTTTTGAAAAATATTCGATCACGCATTTGAATCATTCTAGCCATATCAAAATGCAAAGCAAATATCATCTATTTTAACTTGCAATCGCATTCCAGTCGATTTCAATATTGTTAATAATGTAGAAATATTTCACATAACAATACGTCTAACAAAATTACACGCTTAATTAGAACAGCGCTTAATAGTAATAAATAATTATTTCGAAAATACATACGAATTAATGAACAAGTCATAATAACAGTCGATGATCTATTAATGATTAATCTCGTTCTCTAACGAAGATGGGTAATAATTGTTGGTAAGCAACGATCGGGTAAACGATCTCAAATGAAGACTATGATGATGCGTATAAAGTTTTAAGCGATAACAATATCTTTGCCAATACGCTCTAATAGTTAAATAACGCACGAGAATAATTATAGAAAAGCAATGTATAACCAACATATTACGATGAAAGCGATTATTCGGTGTTCTTGCCAAATCACACATATTAATGACTCTGAAAGAGTTCTAGATTAAGTACATATTGTAAAATCGAAACGCGATGATTTTATAAAAGGCGATTCACGTATTTGCCTTTACAAAATCACTGCGATGACTTTACAAAAGAAATATTTCGAAAATCGCTTATATTTTGAAATATTTTGAATTGCTTACGTTCAACCAGTTTATCAGCTAGCGATTCTGCATATATAATCGCTGTAGAAATTTCATGAAGTCATATTTTTAAGTTATTCATCGTAATATCTATAAGGCAACAATCACGCTTCTGACACATGCATATACTCAAAGATCGGTTACCGGTCCGGATAAATTTACGCTATCTATCACGAGTGTAATTTTGGAATCGCTCGCGATTGACGAGTTCTTTTCACTTCTGGACGTATCCGGATTTTCGTCATCATCGTCGTTGTCGTTGCCATCCTCCGCTTCGTCTTCAGACGATGACGATGATAACGGCACCTGATTCATTGGTTCCCTAGCCTGGTCTTCAGGAACAGGACACACGCCGGAAGCCAGGACGTCGCAAATCCTGTTTACCGTTTCCGTGGCCATGGCACCGTTCACCTTTTTACGTAGTATCTTCACCAGCTTCTCCAGTCTGACAAATTACGTTTCGTGTCACGTTACATTCATTCGTGCCGGCTTGGGAACGTGCCATTTTTCCACCGCTAATGCATCCAAACATTTGCTAATACATCCAAAGACATGCCCAACAAATTCTTTAGCAGAGAGTAAAGCGAAAGTTTCAGCGGAAAGCCATGCTGCCGACTAGAAAACAGAAGAAAACGGTGCGATTCGATGCTTGCTGTCAAGACGTGCACTAGGAGGTCTTTCCGAGAGAGAAAAAAAAAACAATAGATCTTTGAGGAGCAGAAGAGTCATGCAAGCAAGATATACATTCATGCTACAGTTCATATGGAAAAATAATTTTGGAAAGAAAAATGTATAACAATTTAATGAAAATTGAATCTCATCATTATAACATTGTGTTTAATGTACAAAATAAAATATAACATTGTTTAATATACAAAATAAAATGTAACAAATATTTTATTAAATCGAATCTAAAAAAAATATAAACAAGAGAAAAACATACTTTTCAGCAAAAACATATTCGAATTAAAGGTTTATAATATTCACTTCGAATTATAGGAAGCTATAGTTATATAAATATAAACTTTTATATTTATTTTAAATTATAGAAATTATAGTTATATAAATACAAATCAATAGAAAATTATAAAATTTCTAAATTATGCAGAAAATATGGCAAACAGCAATTGAATTTTTTATGGCGTTTAAGAGAATAGGAATGTGCAATATGACTAATGAAACATAACACATACAGCAATACAGGTACAATAACAAGTGTATAAAAAATATATGCAACATATAGTATATGTAGAAAAGACATAAAAGCATGCTAATAAAGCTGATGATGATATGCTGCTAAATAACATTTAATTAACATATATATTGTATCATGAAGATATAAAAATTTATGAAAAAAATGTATTTATTGTACATATTTGTGCTTTTTACATACATCTGATATATATTTTTATGGTTATCTTTACAGATAGAGAAGCAGGTATTCATAACGAATTAACAGGGTAAAATTGCTAAGCATGTGTAAAGCAAATAATGACAATGTATTGAAGTGTTTGCATACTTAAATAGCAACTGGAGTATAATTGCTACGTCGATCTATGCAAAGCCCTTTGGTCATTAATGCTAATCAGTCACTATCCTTTACCTTCTTTTCCATGAAAAGGACAATTCCTTACACTGGTACAAAACACCTCGCTTTATATATGTAAAAAAAATGAAAAATATAATTATACGATCATAATAAATTGAAAATTCCTATTTCTGGCGGAAAGTCGTCTTTCTCCAATTTCATTTTAAGATGCAACGCTACGGAAACAGTGCTGCGAAATGTCGCAAATGTGGCGCAGATGAATTACGTTATTCCGGTATCTACATTAGCTTTCTCTCTCTCCTCTCTAATTCTGTATATTATTTTACAATTTAAACCATATTACTATTATTAGTAAGTTAAAATCACTGTGTAAAAGGAGAGCTCGATAACAAAATTGGAAACCAAATGTCTGAAATAAAAAAAGCAAATTTTCTTTCTCTAAAAATAACTTACACCAATAATTTCAGCTAATGCATACGATTTATGTTAAAAAATCCGAATCTCCTTTGGATACTGGGAATGACGTAATTTCCCCGAAGTGCCGCGCCGGGGGGATGAGTACGACGTGTACGAAAAACCATGCATGATGAGTGTGAGTGAGTAATAGACCTACGTGCTATTCGATACACAGTAGTAGCCTCTAGTAAAAAGCCCCTTGAAGCCCCTTTTCGCGGATATTGGCGACGAGTAGCGTGGTATATGACTTTCTTTTTGTCTTTTTGCTCGGGGCCCCGCGCGTACGCGCGTAATTTAGATATAGGCGGTGGTGTAGGTGGCACGTGAAGGTGCTGTTTGGGTTCTGGAAATCAGGGTTCTCGTCGAACATAGGTCTTTCGGGACGATGGAGCTACCACCGATCACAACGACATCCGGTACGTCGGTGATGGCTCGACTTGTGCGACCATCGTTGGAAAAACAATTCTCGTCCTCGTCCGCGGTATCGCAATTGCTCTCGGAGGAACATAATGGGCCGGTCGGAAGCATGATGTCCTGACGCGGATCCTTATCGCTTTCACTGAACAACCTTCTTAAATTTCCCTTCTTTCGTCGCGGTTTCTTAAAGCTGCCTCGCTGATTGTGAAACCTGCACCATTTTTGCCAACAATTGTGATTATCCGAATAATTGATCAATTTCTCTACTTCGCATGTAACGTCGCTCATTTTTTCCGGCAAATATTTTTGTTCCTCAAGGATTTTAAATGGTACAAAATCTTGTGCTTCATTTTTTCCCGTCGATTGCACCTTCGTTTTACATATTTCGAATAGCTGATCGACAGGTTTCTCTGAGGTATCAGTCAATAAATGCTTCGTTTTTTCATCTTCAGCCGTCATCAAGGGCTTTACTTTATCATCGTTTCTTGTAGTGTCGACGTCATGCGCTTCCTTCTGATCAAAGTTGTCCAATACTGACGTGCCCAGAAATTCGCAAATATGTTCTAATGATTTCATAGTTTTCCATACTTCAACCATATTATTGTTTGTGCATGTTTCGACGGATTTACAGGACAAAGACATTTCTGACCACGTACTCTCCTTTGTCGGAGACGTATCCTCACAGGATACAGGTTCGGAATCGGTCGTAGAATTTTGACATTGATTCGCCATCTCGGAGACTTGTGGAGGAGCCGCCACCTCCGCAGAACGGGGACGTAGAACGGAAGAGATGGAGAATGTGTGTGATGCGAGTGGGATAGCGGGGAACAGGAAGCGAGTATCGGTAAGAGCGGTACGCACGGGGGTGCTGGTTATACAGGGTGTATCGAAAGTTACAGGCGTGACAGATCTGGATACCGCAAAGTTTACGCACTTTGCTGCGTGGTTCTCGGCCAGGGTCCTGGATGCCCGCGCCTCCTGGAGCTCCCGTCGCAGCGCCAGATTCTCCTCCTCGAAGACTGCGATCTCGCGACCTTCATTGCTAGTGCGAATAGAATTGATTTTTCTTTCCATTTTTTTGTCAGAAGCGAGCATTGACGTTGATTGCGGGGAACAGCGAACTGATTTAATTGAAGTTGTGGGTATCATAAACTAATTTTGAGGATCGCGTTCGTCGAGAAATGAAGCGAAAAATGGTTGAAATGACATAGTTAAAGTAGAACGAGAGAAGATCGTTGTAAATAATAATATGAAATATCTTGATAGGTCATCCAGAAGTGCTGATTCAAATGTTTCATCACTGACGGCTTTCACTTATCTTCTATTTTAGCCACGTGACTTTACCGTAGAAAGGATTGGATTATTCTGAAGCTATTGTCGGATTCCAGTACACATCGTAGAATTTGATCTTAAGCAACGCTTAATAATCATAAACGAAATAATAGATGACATCAAAATGTATTACACGCGATTTATTGGACAATAATTATTTACTAAATTTGTCATAACGTATGAGAAAAATTGTGCTTATGCTCCTAGGCGTAGAAATTATGAATAGAAAATAAAACTAATAATTGAAACAACTGTGATAAACCATGGTCGATTACATAGAAATAATATATAATTGGAATCAGTTTTCCGACAAACTTTATCAGATACACTGGAACAGTCTATCATATTTTACCGCGTCTTTTAAATTATACACCGTCCGACAATGTTGAATACAAAACAAATACTAGAACCTAAAGCAAGCTTTTAAATATTTACAAATGCTAAAAAGCTTACTTACGTCGCGCTCAGTTTCAATGCCATCACTTCCTCTTCCAGTTTTGCAACACGTTGATCACTTTCCTCTTTCTCTTTTAAAATCTTCGCCAATTGATTCTGCAACAAATAAAATATAGAAACATTAATAGCCAAGTAGATAAAAGCTAACAGACAATGAAAAAAAAACTAAAAAAAGAAAATTATCGTCATTGAAGCAATTAAAGTTTAAACAACAAAGTTTTTAAAAATTACATGATAATATTCATATTTATAGATATCTGATATTAAAATATCATATCACCCAGTAACTTCTTGTACATTTTAGAGAAATTTTTGAACAAGGCAAATAAAATCTTATTATAAATCTATTCTTTTTTTTTAATTATTATACATATTTCTTTTTTTTATTACAACTTTACCACTTAAATAGTAATTTTTTATTATGTTGTTATGAAAGTAAAACACATATATTTTTGTTTTGTATTTTAAAAATGAATGAACTTGAAGATGGAATAGATGGAACTAATACGAATTATTCTCGATAAAACTATTCCAATATTTTCTAAACTATTCTTATAAACTGCTCTTCTTTTTACATTAGCGTAAACTGTGAATGTAATTGAATTTTTTTTCTTATCTATTTTAACCACTTTATCTCGATGTTTAAAGGTAAACGCAACACGCTGAGAAATGTGTATAAAAAAAGGAAAAGAAAGGAGCTAGCAACCTTGATCAGCTCTCACGTGCAGCAAAATTTACATGGACGTGGAGAGAGAGATGGAGGGTCCCGGAGGTTCAATTACGAGATTGCCAATATGCAAGCGACATGGCGGTGGCGGCCATCGCTTTGGCTGATGAGGCTAATGGATGGTTGAAACCTGAGAAGAACGGCAAAGAGGAAAAAGAGGCCAAGGGAGAGGCCCCTGACAGCCACTAAGTGCGCTCCGTCCTTCCCCAATTCCCCCTTCCTTTCTCGTCCTTTCGGCCCCAGCCCTGTTCTCTCTCGCCTCTGCAACACTCTGTCCGCTGCGGATGCCCTTATGTGAAACCTAATCACTTTTAGCGCGCGTCACGGATATTTCGTATTATGTCTACATTGCGTTCTCCGGTATCGGCTGACTTTATCAGCCGTCTCTCTACCGTTCAACCTTTCCCTCATCTCTCTTTATCCCCTTCGTTCATAGAATCAAGTCGCGCGTGCAGCAAACCCTAATCGGCTGATGCGTTTCTCAAGGATAGATCATGGAGCCAATTTTTGGAAAAACGTTAAAAAATCTTGCGAGCTCTTTAATTTTAAACATTAAAATAATTTTTTTTTCGATTCAATGATTGTACACATTCAAGTATTGTCTTTTTTGTATTGACTTTTATACTTTGCCGCTAGTAATGACATGTAATAAAAAATTTACTTTATAATGCGTGATTACAAACTTGGATAGTGCAGTTACAATGGAAAAGTATAATTTGTAAATAATGCAACATTTTTCCTTTTATGTTGTTAAATCGATACGCATATGCGAATGTACGTAATAACGACACATTTGCGTGTTTGTACTGTATGAAATACTCTAATAATACTGACACAATTACGTATCATCAAAGTAACACATGCACGGAGGAAAATTGATTTTTCTATATAATTCATAATATGTGATTGCGACCATTCACATATTTTTATGCGTTTATGATTTTTCTGTTACTAAAATTATTTAATCTAATAATAAAACATACAAAACAATAACTTAAAATAAAATAAAAATAGTATAACGTATTTTGTAATAAAAAAAACTATGCATTTGTTATGACTACGTCCATTGTGCATTTTTATAGCAACAAATACCACAATTGAAAAAATATATGAAAAAATTAATGATATATTAATTTTATAATATCAATTATAAAAACAATAAAACAATGTAAGATTAATTTAAATAAACTTAGTCTATCAAGAACCAAATCTATCAAGAACAGATTCTGCAAAAATCTGTTACAAATTTTGTTAGCAAATAATATAAATTTGATTTTGCATATAAGTTTAATGTTGTTAATAGAATGATGGTAACAATCCAATAGACATAGTTTGATGTAGATTAACAGCAGAAATAAACATAATCTACGTTCGACAGATTCTACTCGGTTTCTGCTGCTAATCTACTATCAGAGATTATGTTAATAGATTCTATCGGCAAAAATATGAAATTAATACGAATACAGTTGAGTTTAATTTGCTAGCAATTTCTGATCGCATTTACTACCAATTCATTGGCAGCGAACAGATCACTTACTGAGAAAATCATTAACGAGATAAAAAGTAGAAATACACAAAAGAGCGGAAATAGAATCAATTGTACAGATTTTGCATATATACGATAATCGAGAGAGAAAAAGAGAAAGTTGAAAAAAAGACTAATAGGTACCACGATCACCTGGCCGTCCTAATCAAATAGAACGTAGGAATGTCTGCACAAACATTACGTTCCATCCATGATTGTGACCCGGAAGAGCGAATGTCGAAAATATTGAAGAGTGCTCATATTACCGTATTTCAATCCCAACCGCATAACGACACGAGTGGCATAAGAAAAAAAGGGGTTCACTACTTTTGTTTTCTATTCCCATATTCTCATATGCTTATAGCACACATACTTTCTTTAGTTTTAGTTTTTCAAAGATTTTTTGTTTACTAATTTGTGCTGTGTCAAAGATTTTTAATGTACTACATATACAAAATTCAGGCTAACATAACAAAGTTTGCTCAAGAAAGATTAAAAATAATATTTAGTATTTTGTATAAAATTAATCTCAAATTTTTTTTGTATGTAAACTATTTTATATATTTTACTCTATATATTATAAAAGCTTTTATATATTTTTGTTTTGTTTGTATATATGATTAACAATAAGATTTGAGATAAAATAAGATTATCTAATAAATGTATAATATTATCAAATAGAGTTCAATTAAATCATAACTATTTCTTATTTCCAGTTCTATATTTAAAGATGAAGGATATATCACCAAATTTGAGAAAATAATTAAAATACCAAATTATCACAACTGAACATGTTTAAAAAAGCAATTATTACATAAAATAGTATATAAAATTATATATGAAGAACATATTACTATGAAGAATGTTATAATATGAAAAATATATTAAGAAATTCTATTTACATACCTTCAGCTCATCCACTTCTTTTGCTTGTTGATTACATTTCTCTTCCAACATAGATTTAACTGTTGTAACTAAACCTTCTTCACAATTCCTATTAGCTTCTCTGATTTCACGTATAAGTTCTGAAACAAATAATACAATGTTTCATCAGAGTAATGGTCGTCCCATATAATGTGTGAAATTAATAACAAAAATTGTAAATTTTAGAATTATCTACCTGATAACATTCCAGGTTGATAATCCGCAGGAGTACTATGTCTACATTGTGCCAATTTTGCTTTTACATTCTCTACATTTGACTTAGCTTCACTAAGTTCTTTAAACAGTTGGTTGTTACATTTTTTTAGCTCTGTCATCTGCAACATAATATTTGAAAAAGATCTTAATAATTTGAAAACGATATCAAACACACACATTAAACAATTAAATACATTTTAAAGAATTGGAAAGAATACGGGCGTTAGGAGTCAGGCGCAGAAGACGTCGCGCAGAATAATACACTTATGAAGCTTGAAACTTCTTTATTCAACAAACGCGCTTACACGTTTCTATATTTTTTAATTCGACATTTTTTATATTTCCCTTTTTTTCATTTTCTTTTTCTTTCTTTTTGTTTAATTCTGACATTTAAATTCTCGATGTAGGAGAGCTCATCATGACAGGATAACTTTTACTTTATATATGTTAGTTTGTGTTTGCTCCGAGGAAGGCTCAAAAACGAGCCGAAATGCGTTTGTAAGCGCGTTTGTTGAATAAAAAAGTGCCAACCTTCACAAGTGTATTATTTGCGCGACGTCTTCTGCGCCTGACTCCTAACGCCCGTATTCTTTCCAATTCTTTGATTTATAAGGAGTCTCGGTTAGTTTGATTTGTTATACGAATTTAAATACATTTTGTATATTTCAAGTACTAACAACAATCCTACAAATAATCATGACAATAATAGAACAAGTTTAATCCTATATTTTCAAATAAAAAACAAATACAAACCTGTTCAATAAGTGACAGGACAAGTTTATTACTACGGCTAATTGTCGTTATGGAACTTCCACTCTCAATACTATCGGAATCATCACTGTCTGAGTGAGCCGAAGGCCCAGCAGGTCCCAATCCAGGATCAGAGTATCTTCTGTGCTCTGAATTGAGTTCGTCGCCATTGACTCCATTGTCTTTGTTAGCAGTAGGTGGTAGACTGGCATAATCTCCGTTTTGAAGAGCCATATGTACAGCAGATTCCAAAACTCCGTTTTCTTGCAGATTTCCATAACCATTAACAACATTATTGACATTGGGACGAACATTCGCCAAGTGCTTGTTACAGTGATGCCTTTGTCTACTGTGGACGGTTCTAATGTTTGGCACCGGCATTGGCTGATACATTCTGTACATTGTAGGCAGTGAGACCGGCTGCATGGTGTATGTCATAGGCATCGGTGAGTAGCCACAGACGCTCGGATCTGACATCGCGGTGAATAGACGTTGTCCATTACCCGATACGTTCTGCACGTCTGTCGGTTGCCACAGCATCTGCCTTGGAGGATACTCCATACCAGGCACCAGGCCACCGTCCTGATTACTCTGTAAAGTGTTCGGCCACGTATCCTGTATTGTGTCCAGCAGGTTGCTCTTACGGCTGGATCTTCTCTTATTCTTCCTCGAGTGATTCGGCGGAATCTGACGCGGCGGTCTCGACGGGTTCGACAACCTGTCCATCAATCGTTTTGTTTACACCAAAACATAACCCCTTGAATGAATGACAAAATCGTGACTCACCTCTGCTCCATCTCGACGGACGACTCGATCCGCATCAAGAGGACCTGGTTCCTTGCAAGAGCGCGCGCAACATCCGCGGAACGGGGACGTTAGGCGAGTCGATCTGACGATCCAGTTCTCAGCTGTAACGGCACGTCGTTGTGAGATATTCCCTGAGCGGCCTGAGCAGGCCTGAGACTCCAGCGCGATATGATAGGTCGTGCAACCTTCGCACTATCTTTGACAACTCACGCGCAAGATATTTTATCCGAGCTTATCGACGATCATCGTAACGCAACAGAGGGTTGAAAAGAACAATTTTGTTAAAAAGATGAAATAAGATCGTCTATCCACATTCACGCATGCTGCGGACGCTGGGCCCTGCGGTGGTGACGACGACAGCGGACAGGAGACGATTTCACTGTTTCACTGATTTTACGAAAGGTGACGGGTGACCATCGATAACAACGACTGTCAAACTCGGAATATCCTCGGTCGATAACGTGACGTCCGACAGCAGCCAACAGCTATTCATGTGCGATGATCTGTGCGACTGTAATGCGACATAACCTCGGGAAGCGAGTGTCAAAGAGAGAGAAGATGTAACATAACCTCAAAGTGAGAAATGGCAACCGCTGGGAGACGGATGGAAAATGAAAAGAACAAGCCGATATTTTGCGAGTTGTCTGTTAATGATCTGGAACCGGAAATTACAGAGATCGAGAGTCTGTGCGTGGAATGTGGCAAGAACGTGAGCAAACCCTACGCTAATCTTGGAACTTCTCGTTAAGGCCTAGTTTCATTAATGTAAGGTTAACTTTAGTTTGGGTTTAACTTACTTTTTTCTTTTTCTAATTCTAAGAATTGTAAAAATTAGAAAAAGATAAAGAGTAAATTGAATCGAGGTTAAAGTTAATCTCACGTTGATGGAACAGAGCCTAATGTACATTTCTACTAATATAGGTTAACTTTAAAACTTTAACTTACTCTTCATTTTTTTTCTAATTCTTAGAACTACAGAGTACTTAGAAAAACATGAGGTAGTTGAATTAAGATTAAAATTAAACTACATTAGTAGAAATGGACATAAGTCAAGGTATGTTTATAGATAAACACTGAACGCGAAAGTTTATTGTAGAGTTGTTCATTTGTAAAATATGATAATCTACATATATATACAATGTAAACCATATAAATTATGTTTTACCTGTCATCTATGTAAACAATCTAGGGATCATCAAAGCCTATGTTCTTTGTCGTTGCACCAGACTGCACTAAGGTCTGGTTCTACCAAGATTAACTTTAATCTTGGTTCAATTTACTCTTTATCTATATCTTATATATATTCTAAGAATTATGTCCACTTCTACCAAAGTAAATTAATTTTAAATCTTGCTCTTTATCCTTTTTTTAGTTCTTAGAACTAGAAAAAGATAAAAGTAAAAATTAAACTAAGATTAAACTCAATCTACATTGGTCAAAACAGACATTAGAAAAAGATGAACAGTAAGTTAAATCGATGTTAAAGTTAATCTTATATTGGTGAAATCTGCCCAATCTAAAGCCTCTATCTTACCTCTATATGTTCTTATTTATATACTGAAGTCAATATTGAGGAGTTAAGATATATTAACAATTATAAAATTTATTTACTTCTTTCTGTATTATATTATCCAAATTAATAATTTAAATATTTTACATTACTTGCATTGTCTACGTAAAAAAAGATTCATGTAAACATAATCTTGAAATATATGGCACATCCCTTTGTTGCACAAATGTCGCACAAGTTTAATTGCAATATGCAGTGAACATCAAATCTGATCAAATGCTGGTATTCAGAGTTAAGAAATAAATAATGAATGTCTAAATATTTGTGTTTGATATTCATTCGGTGTTTATTCACTAAATATATGTCTATTTTTAGAATGCATGTTGTCTAAATGACCAATATTTATTTCTATAAGGGGATTACCCGGCTGCTGTTGACAAAAATCCCACATTATAAAGATGTGGTGCTTATGTCCTTTGAGTGCGAGCACTGTGGTTATCAAAATAACGAGATACAAAGTGGAGGAAAGATAGCAGAGAAAGGAATCAAAATAACACTGCAAGTAGTAATGTCGCAAGATTTAAATCGCCAAGTAGTTAAATCTGACTACACTAGCATTCATATACCCCACTTGGATTTTGAAATTCCTTCTCAGTCTCAAAAAGGAGAAATCACGACTGTGGAAGGGATAATTGACAGGAGCATTAGAGCACTGGAACAGGATCAGTCCAGACGTCGGGAAGAATTTCCAGACACTGCTGTCGAAATAGATCTGTTTATTAGCAAATTACGTGCACTGAAGATATTGGATGAGCCATTTACTATTATTTTTCAAGATATTTCAGGAAATAGTCATATAGAGAATCCAAAAGCGCCAATCAAAGACAGTCAGTGTACTATAACACATTTCAAAAGAACGAAAGAACAGAATCATATATTAGGAATTTATCCCGACAATGAAGATGTCTTGCTCAAACCTATACAGGAAGGAGAGTACCCTTTGGAACAACTCGAGGGCGAAGTGCTGTCCTTTCCTACTAATTGTCCAGACTGCAATAGCCCTTGTGAAACAAATATGAAACTAACAAGTATCCTTTAATCATATCAGATTAAATTTTTATTAAATATTAGGAATGATATTAGGATAACATCACAAAGTCAGAAGGATTAAAAAATAAATCTCAATACACTGTTGAAAAAATATTTTATGATTGTTGTTAGCTAGTCGGAAATGTTTGTTTAATTGTAAAAATTAATTATGTAAATATTACACATGAATTTTTCCTTAATATAATATTAAGATATACCACATTTCAAAGAGGTTGTTATAATGGCTACACTATGCGAGTCTTGTGGTCATAGGACTAACGAGGTGAAGAGCGGCAGTGGGATCGAATCTCAAGGAGTCAGAATCGAAGTGACGATAACAGGCAAAGAAGATTTCAGTCGCGATCTACTGAAATCCGAAACTTGTGACATGGAAATACCCGAACTCGAGTTAGAAGTTGGTCCAACCATTTTGGGTGGTCGGTTCACGACCGTCGAAGGGATCATAGCAGCGATGAAAGAACAGTTGTCTTCGTCTACGGCTTTCACTGGAGATAGTACCGATCCAGAAATTGTGAACAGAATGAACGTGTTTATCGCACAATTGGAAGAAGTTTTAGATGGTCAAAGAAAAGTGACCTTGATTTTAGATGATCCGGCTGGAAATAGTTACGTACAAAGTCTTTCCGATGATGGACCTGACGATAGATTAAAGATCACGAAATATGATAGAAATTTTGACCAGAATGAAGAGCTTGGTCTTAACGATATAAAAGTCGAAAATTATTAGATGTCTACTAAAAGAGAAATAAATATTGTTACAGTACAAATGGCATATGTAAAAATAGCTAGATAACTAAAATGTTTTTGTAACAATTTTATTTTATGTTGAAATAACTTGTATCTTGTAAACATAAATTTTATATTACTTTCAACACACAAATTTACTCTAATTATACTCTATTTTTAATAGCTTTTTAATCTTCACCTGCGTGTCTGGAAGAGAAAATTCGTTAAATTTTCTTACATAATTCATATAAGCAGCATAGTTACATATATTAAATATCCATTGTAGAAAACGCATAGCATACACAATTGGTATCGCGTCGAGTTTTTTCAACGCAGGCAATCTCCTTACAACTTGCGCGCGCCACGATTCTGCATCCATATTCTCACATATAGGATTGTTAATGAATTTCAAATCTTGAAGATTAGGTATCTCTTGCAGGCGATTAAATTCTGCCCAATCTTTCACCAGATTATTGCCCATATATAAAACCTTGAGCGCTTTGAGAGCATTAACACCCTTGATCTTTTCAATCAAATTATAAGATATCCACAACTCCTCTAAGTGATCCCCAACTGCCTCCAATCCTGAGAATGTTTTGATATTGTTTCTGCTCAGAGATAAGATCCTCAGATATTTCAACGAATTAATACCGCTGATCTTTTCTATTACATTTGTCGATAAAGATAATTTCCTATGAATATTTAACAGAAATAATTTAATGAATGCACAATCTGTACAAATATTTCACGTTTATTGTTTATTCGTTAGAAAAAAACGAACTCAACGTTAATTAATACCGCCAAACTGTTATCCATTCTCTCAATTGGAGGCCACTGGAAGGATAAAATTATATCCTTTTGTTCGCCCGCGATCAGTCCCGTTTTCTCTTCCCATCTTTGAATGGCTTCTTTGCACGTTGTTGCTTTAGCCTATATAATTTTAGATTTTATTTCCAAGGAGAAATATAATTATTCAATTCTTTGAAATCTATTAAATCTCTACCATAATTTCAAATCACTTCAATAATATATATTTTTCACAGTATAATCTTAACTTTTTAATAAGATTAATTAATGTATCGCAGAATCTGTAAGTGTTAATGAACATATCGGTGAATTCTCAGAAGTTAGATGTCAGATGAAAAATAATTTTCTAATATACAGAGTGCCCTATTTTAACTTTGCATCGAAATATCTCGAAACGTATAAAAGAGGAAAAATATTTCAAACAAAAGATTTGATTTGTCCCCCTCTAAATCATACAACTTTTGTCTAAAACATTTCTTGGTATTTTTTTTATTCTTTTCAAGATATTTTGATACAAAAGTTAAAATAAGACACTTTGTATATGTTAGTGTCCGAAAACTTTCGTATTTCTATTAAATCAATATTTTATATCGTATTCCAACATTAATTACGTGTATATACAAATAGATTCCGTACAGAGAGAGAGAGAGAGATGTTACAATTTTTAAAAAAATACGATTACATTTTTGAAATTTGCCGCGCATGCGAATATTTTCGTCGCCGTTGACGTCCATCTTAACAAAATCTTTTCATGGCACTACGCTATCTACAAATACAAAATGGACAAAGTTCAAAAGAGAAGTAAAGTTGCTGCGTCAAGAAATTACGAGGGAAGTACAATAAACACCTTATATTACTATAATCCGAGTGGAAATTAAAACTGATAGAACGCGGTGAATTAGCAGATCACCGAACTGTCCACAGTTCGAGTCCGATCCGACCAATGGCCATCGCGAACGTGCGCCATGCCATACGTCGCGTCGGCTCGTTGGCCCGCGGAGTCGTTCGCGAAGCACGTTGACACGCGCGGCTGATCAGAAGTCTGGACTCGCGAATGTGAGCCCGATTCGATTGTGCGCGCACCACTGATAAAATTGGATAAAACAGGATAAAATGCCGAAGAGGAAGAACAAGGTACGTCTATCCCGATAATCCGTCGTCGTCGTCGTCGCCGCGCTCGTTT